GATCACGTTGGCCATAAAAAGTTGGAGGACCTTTCTGAAGAGCTAAAAAAACAAACTCAGGCATTGATAACCCTTGGGACCAGTACTTTGGATGGTTTACTAGTTAGAAACAAGCATTAGTGCAATTTTTCATTATTATAGTTATTATCATGGTAATTATAGGTTTAGTTGTATGTTGTGTAATTTTTTGTTTCTGTAAAATGCTCAGTAAAGGCATTGAAAATGCCTCTATGCTCTCTATAAGTCTTGAACACACACGATTATTTGATAAAAAGCCCAATGACTATTCTGTTTATGTTGCGAAACACAAAGAGAGGAAGAAAGGTAGCCCAGTTATTTGACGGATGGGGGCGGCCCTTATGCCACCTGGGATTCCAAGGATGCTAGCATCGCCATACCCATTGTATGTAGCCAGAGAGTTGCCAAACCTCTGATGACGTCAAGGTAACTGTGGATTAAAGTAATAAAATCACCCAATTAGAAATAGTTGATTTTAAGAGGGGATTGAAGGGAAATGTATGTCTTTTAGGTCTGTCATTTTGTTTTCCCCACTCCATTTTGTACTAACATGTTGATTAATTGTTTTGTATTATAACCAGAATGAGTTAATGAAAATATGCTATGTCAGTTATTTATTACAGAACTATACTCACAAACATTCTTCTATCTTTTATCTTAGCTTAGCCTTGGTAGAGACGGAGATAGTATCCAACTATTTCTTTGTATTAACAAGCACCTGTTTCTGTTATGATACAATTAAATGTCAAATATTTCTGTTCCATGAGAAAATAATTGTTTGTTACTTATAACTAATTAAAATGCCTGAGAAAGATCATGTTCACAGCCTTGAAAAGTATCTAGCGAGATTCTATTGTATGTAGCAGATAAGTTTTTATGTAATATTATAGACATTCCTTAAATTTTGCTTCTCATCATTATTCAGGATTGACGTAAATGCTTGTATTCTCACTTGCACGTTATATTGTACTATAAAAGAGAGCTTTCGTTGTGGAATAAATTAGAAGTTTTTTGGTTACTGACAAGACGGTGTCATGTGTGATTACTTGTAACCAATGCTTCTCCAGGCCTGAGGAGACAGAATGAGTGACAGAGAATTTAGACCAGGGGTCTAAAGGGTCAACAGAACCAACAAGTACCATAATATTGGGTTATCACTTCTATAGTCCTCAAAGTACTCCACTGAGTAGCAGCTTTGCACGGGAACCCTACTAGACAAGCTGAGTAAGTATCTACTGCCTTGCAAATATACTTACATCCCTTGCTTGCTGGGAGAGGTCCGATGAAATCCATCTGCCATATCTGACCTGGCAACTTACCTCTTCCAATGTGTCCCATCACTGTGTGTGGGACTTTCCTTTTCTGTACATGTTGGCATACTGGACACTTAAGGATGATGGATTTAATTATGTCTATAGTTAATGGTATCCCCCTTTCCTGTGCCCACCTGTAAGTGGCCTTTTCTCCAAGATGTCCACTTTTTTTGGTGAGCCCAAAGGGCTGTACCCTGCAGCCATGTTTCCTGAATTTCAGCTTCTCTTTCTGCATCGGATGTTTTGGATATGGCTGCAGCAGCAGTGTCTGCTTGAGAATTAAACAAACGTTCTAATGAGTCAAGAGCACATGAGCATCCACATGATAAACAGTTACCGTCGTGTTTTGAACAAAACTTTCAATGTCCTGCCACACCTCTTTTCCCCACACTTCCTTACTATGTATCTTTCTCAACAACATACACATCTGTTCCATCCTTATTAAACACTTCTCTCATTCTTATCAATATAGTTAAATCCGGGTTCTTTAAAGACATGTTACAAATGCACATTTAAAGTTTAGCAACAACATAGGATACGAATGTTAGTAAAAAACAACAAAATCAGCATATCTACTTTCTTAAATCATCAAGCTTGTAAAAACATTTACCAGGTCTCTATGGTTCTCTATGACTTCATACCAATCTGGGATCTCAACAGATATGTTAGGTATTCATATACAACACTCATAGTCAGTAGTAGACTTACACAACTCGGTCAATGCTATACCCATTTGTTCTATTTTCATTTCATTCATGAGCACCTGTTTCCTATGCTTTTAGTGCCGGCTTCAGTTTTAATTCTCCTACATAGCTTAACACAAGAATCCTTGTCTAATGATGCATCAAAATCATAACACTTTCTCCATTTACTAAGATATTTCACTTTTTTTTTTTTCTTGCTTTGGGCAAGATCTCTCCATGCCCCTTATTCCACTGTATCCCCAGGAATTTCACTACCTGAGACGGACCTTGTATTTTGGCCGGATGGATTTCCCCAGCCTTTGGTCCTCCGGGGCAATCATCCCAATCATCGCTAGATGAAGAATCCCACACATCAGCATCCCACTTATCTGGATTCCAATCAACTGTAGCTGCTGCTATTGCCCAATGGACTTTCCCATGGTTCACCCTTCCTCGTCGTTTCCTATACTTATTTTGGGCCATTTTTACTGCTGCTATCTCGGCTATATTTTGATAATGTTCTAATTTATCTTTCAACAATTTTTGCCCACATTGCAGAAGAACAATTTTACCTTCTTGTTCTATGGTCTTCTGCTCTAGTTGATGGTAATCCTTCATTTCCTGATGTAATTTCTTATGAATCTTCCTGTATGCAGTTAGCAGAATCCAACTGCGTCTGCCTAAAGCCACTACATCACCTGCCTTGGCAGGGACCCCCTCAAGTACATTTACAACATCAAGGGGTTCAAAAGCTACTACATCACCTGCCTTGGCAGGGACCCCCCTGAGTACATTTACAACATCAAGGGGTTCGATACCTTTAATCTTACTATCCCATGATTCTGCCAACCCTGCACCTGACAATTCCTGTGCTAAAATATCATATGGAGCCTCGGTCCAGCCAGGAATCTCCACTTTAACCTCTGTTTTATCCTTATTTTCTCGTTTAAACATATTAGGTTCGTTAGGATGCCAGATATATAAAAAATCTCCAAAACTTGGCAATCAGCCAAATGACCAAATTTTGCACGAAGATCCCCTGGTATTTTGAGGATCAACCCCCAAAAATCACTTTTGCAAAATGTCAAATGACAATATTTTGCACAGAGGTTCCCCTATGCCTGAGAACCAATGTGTAAATATTACTTTTTCAAACAACCTTTCTTAATAGGAGGTATATCTACCTGGCATCCTGCCGACTACGCCAATTTATGTTTTGCCTCAAAACAAAGTGTTTTTAACACTACTACAATCGCTCACTAATACACGGATTAGGCTTAATAAATATTAAAGCAAAACATGATTTATTGAATAAGTTCTGTTAGTATAATAACATAAGAATTGTCAGAATTGCAAATCATATTTAGATCATATTATAGCAAGAATAAAGCATCAATAGATCACCGGATATTGTAGCATCACCCGTTGCTCAACGACTGGGGGACTCCAACAATCAACAAGGGGAATCTGGGAAATCACCGCAAGACACGTCTGCCGCATATTTAATGAGTCCCAAATTCCCCTAGAATCCCCCGTCTTTTATATACATAATTTGCAGTGTCCTTGTTTACTGCCATGCGCAGTAGACTCTATTTGTGTAACTATTGTGACTATGAACCTTGACTTGTTCGACTATAGATCTTGTAACTATAAATCCTTGACTGATTGCAACTACACATCTGGTAACTATGAATGATAGATCTAGCCTTGATAGATCTTAACAATGTCCTTGTCTTATTATTCTAAAACTCTAGTTACCCCTCCACTGATATATCCTACTAAAATTATGGCAGTTGAGTGTCAATCATCCTTCACATATACATTCTATACATCCATGTCACATATGTATCACAACTGGAATACTGTGCAGATCTCATACATACAGGCAGGTCCATAAATATTGGGACATTGACACAATTCTAACATTTTTGGCTCTATACACCACCACAATGGATTTGAAATGAAACGAACAAGATGTGCTTTAATTGCAGACTGGCAGCTTTAATTTGAGGGTATTTACATCCAAATCAGGTGAACGGTGTAGGAATTACAACAGTTTACATATGTGCCTCCCACTTGTTAAGGGACCAAAAGTAATGGGACAGAATAATATCCATCAATCAAACTTTCACTTTTTAATACTTGGTTGCAAATCCTTTGCAGTCAATTACAGCCTGAAGTCTGGAACGCATAGACATCACCAGACGCTGGGTTTCATCCCTGGTGATGCTCTGCCAGGTCACATATGAGGGACTTAACAATTCGGAAAAAAAAAAAAGAAAGAAAAGAATGGAAAATCTGCAAGTCGGCTTTCTCTCTCTAGCAGATCACCGTGGAACTCTTCACCCTGCATGAGTGAGAATCCGAGTTCTCCAACTGGACTTCCTTTCGTCCCCCTTAAAAGAGCCACAACCCAAATAATGGTGACACATATCTGCCTTCCAGGACCCATCCCTGGAATATTGTACATCATCTTTTGTATCATGTTTGCAGTCTCTGGCCATTTCATGTAGCATGTTTGCAATCTCTGATCATCTCTTCTATTAGATCTACAGTCTTTAACTACTGTACAGCACACCAAGATTTTATAAGAATACATATGACTCTTGTATTTAGTCATTATTTGTTTATCCCCATTTCAGCTTTAGGGCTCATTCAGATGGGCAATCAGACCCAACCTCAGACCTGAGCCACTGGCTGCTGCACGTGAATCTACCTGGAAGCTGTGTGCATTTGACATGTAGGTAGGAGAAGGTACATAGAGATGAATGCAGACACACGTGTACACTACATGCATTCAGTTTAACAAAACAGTTACACCGTGTAAAAAAAGAAAAAAAAAACCCACTGTATGTTTGTTTTACTAAATTCCTTCATCGGCCAATGGTGGACCAACTTCCCATGATAGGTGGAGTCTATGCATCATATATATAGAGCAAAGTCTCCCAATTCTCTGTATCTGGCACCTGCGTCCTCACCTACCAAGATGTTCTTTGCTTTGAGCCTCCTCCTGCTGTGTGCCGGAATCTCTGCTTCTGGAGGTAAGTCCTCTCTCCCTTCTTATCTATTTCCACCTTATACGGAGGTCAGATACTATTGTTTAATATTTTACAGAATTCACATTAGTCCTCTACAGTATTTCTTTAAAGCCAGTCAGAATTCAGTTTTGGGCAGCTTGGAATGGGCAGATTATTTTAAGTGATTTGTGACTGGTTGCTTTTGGTTATTCAAATGTTTTTATTGTATTTCATGATTCTCTTAACCACTTGCCTACAGGGCACTTATACCTAGGTCCTTCCTGCCCAGGCCAATCTTCAGCTTTCAGCACTGTCGCACTTTGAATGACAATTGCGTGGTCATGCAACACTGTACCTATATGAAATTTTTATCATTTTTTTGGTGGTATTTAATTGCCACTGGGTGTTTTACTTTTTGCGCTATAAAAAAGAAAGCAAAAATTTGGAAAAAAAAGTTTTTCTTTGTTTCTATTATACAATTTTGCAAACAGGTAATTTTTCTCCTTCACTGATGTGCATTGATGAGGCTGCATTGATAGGCAGCACTGATGGGCACTGATAGGTGGCACTGATGGGGTGGCAGGGATAGGCAGCACTGATGTGCACTGATAGGCAGCACTGATAGGCAGCACTGATGAGCTGGCACTGATGATGCTGCACTGATATGCAGCAATGATGGGCACTGATGGGCCGCACTGATAGGCACTGACTGGTGGCACTGCTGGGCACTGACTGGCAGTAATTCTGGGCACTGATGGGTGGCACTGCTGGGCAGCACTGATGGCACTGAAGTGGGGCACTGCTGGGCACTGGGGGGGTGGCACTGCTGGACAAAGGTGGGTGGCACTGCTAGACAATGATGTGCACTTGTGGGTGGCACTGCTTGGCACTTGTGGGTGGCACTGCTGGGCACAGGTGGGTGGCACTGCTGGGTAGCACTGCTGGGCACTGATCATCAGGGCACTGATCATCAGTGCTGATCTGTTTTCTGACAAGTGCCAGTTATCGGCAGTACTTTCCTCATGCTGTGACAGCGTGAGGAAAGTGCAGCCGACAACTGGCAACTGCATTTACCCGGTGATCTGCTGTGTCATTGGACACAGCTGATCACGTTGTAAAAGGCAGCTGTGATTGGCATTTTACCACATCATGTGTTCAGCTGTGTCCTTAGGACACAATGATCGATCATGGAGATTGCTGGTCGCGTGCCACTGGGGGGCGCGCAGAAGGGCGTGTTCTGGGAGGACGTCATAAGATGCCCTCCCAAACTGGACAACAGCGCTGTAACCGTCATTCAGCTATAGCCAAGTTGTCAAGTAGTTAAAGCAGGAATTCTTAATCTGGGGTCCATGAACCCCTATGTGGTCCATAGATGGATTTTAAGAGGTCTGTAAGGATCAGATTAATAATTACATTTACATTCATTATACAGCCCTACCCCTTGTCCCACTCAATGATTTCCGCGCGTGAAAACGCACTCTAACACTAACCGACCGCTAAGCGTCTCTTGACTCATTGTTGGTTCATATTTACCATTTAAATTTGAAAGAAAGAAAGAAAAAATTGCTGTTACAAAGCCAAGAAAGAAAGAAAGAAAGAAACAAAGAGAAAGAGAAGGAAAGTTTACTGTTTCTTGTTCTCTTATGCTGTTACATAGAGTCTGTTCTGCTGGTGGGATGCATTTCTCATACTGTGCATATATATTAAACTCTTTGTCCTGGTAATCAGACATATCAGCTAGAGTATAGAATGTAATATCTAAGATTACTGGATGGGCTGCACCCTTAGACCCATGGGACTATTTGGTTCATGGCTCTAATTTCTCATATAAAGATTACCGGAACAGCCTAATCCCTCATCTATTATATTCTGTAAAGAGCAATTGGAGAAATTTATCAAGACTGAAGCCGTCAAAATCTGTAGCAGATGTTCATGACAACCAATCACCTTCTAACTTCAGCTTGTTAATTTAAGCTTTGAAATTGCAAGATATTAGTTAATTGGTTGCAATACACATCTACTACAGAATTCTGATGGCTTCAGTTTTGATTTCCTATCACTGTATATATATATACAGTATATATACACTATTTTGCCAATAGTATTGGGACACCCCTCCAGATCATTGGATTCAGGTGTTCCAATCACCTTCATGGCCACAAATGTATAAAATCAAGGACCTAGGCATGCAGACTGCTTCTACAAACATTTGTGAAATAATGGTTTGCTCTCAGGAGCTCAGTGAATTCAAGCGTGGGGTACCGTGATAGGTTGCCACCTGTGCAATCAGTCCATCCATGAAATTTCCTTGCAGCTAAATATTCCACGGTCAACTGGGAACAGCAGCAAATCAGCCATGAAGTGGTAAACCACATAAAATGACAAAGCGGGGGTCAACACATGCTGAAGCGCACATTGAACAGAAGTCGCCAACTGTCTGCAGAGTCAATAGCTTAAGACCTCCAAACTTCACGTGGCCTTCAGATTAGCACGACAACAGTGCATACATGGGTTTTCCATGGCCAAGCAGCTGTATGCAAGCCTTTCATCACCAAGTGCAATGCAAAGCGTTAGATGCTGTGGTGTAAAGCATGCCACCACTGGACTCTAGAGCAGTGGAAAACGTGTTCTCTGGAGTGATGAATCATACATCTGTCTGGCAATCCTATGGATGTGTCTAGCAGAACGGTACTTGCCATTGTGCCAAGTGTAAATTTTGGTGGAGGGGGAATATAGTGTGGGGTTATGATTCAGGGGTTGGGCTTAGCCCCCTAGTTCCAGTGAAGGGAAGTCTTAAGGTGTCAGTATACCAAGACATTTTGGACAATTTAATGCTCCCAACTTTGTAGGAACAGTTTGGGTATGGCCCCTTCCTGTTCCAACATGACTGCATACCAGTGCACAAAGCAAGGTCCTTAAAGACATGGATGAGTGAGTTTGGGGTGGAGGAACTTGACTGGCCTGCACAGAGTCCTGACCTTTACCCAATAGAATAACTTTGGGATGAATTAGAGCAGAAACTGCGCGCCAGGCCTTCTCGTCCGACATCAGTGCCTGACCTCACAAATGAGCTTCTGGAAGAACGGTCAAACATTCCCATAGACACCCTCCTAAACCTTGTAGACATCCTTTCAAGAAGAGTTGAAGCTGTTATAGCCACAAAGGGCGGGGCCAACTCAATATTGACCCCTATGGACTAAGACTGGGATGCTATTAAAATTCATGTGAGTGTAAAGGCAGGCGTCTCAATATTTTTGGCAATATAGTGTGTGTGTGTGTGTGTGTGTATATATATATATAGATATATATATATAGTTATATGGTTCCCCCAGAGAGACGTGAGCATAGGACCCAGTTTACTTTGGATTATGGGTTGCCATGGTGTGGGAGGGCCTACTAGCACCATAACAACCAATGATGTTCTTGAGAAGCATCCTTAATTGGTATGGTGTTGCTGGCCAGCCCGCGTGCACCATGGCAACAAATGACATTGATCAAGGGCAGGCAGTATGCAGGGCCGCCCCCAGCATTCAGGAGTCTGGCTCCTCCAGACCTGCTCAACCTCCTGCCCTCTGCTATGCTGCTGGTAGGGCTCTGATGTGAAGACATGTCTGTGTGATTGGGGGGCTCTGTGATTTGGGAGTCTTTGTGATGGGGGAACTCTGATCTGATGGGGGACCATCATGTGGGGAGGGGATCTGATGTATAGGGAAGACTCTGACATATAAGAGGGACCTGGATGTGATGGGGGGCTCTGACGTAAACGGAGGACTCTGATGTGATGGGGAGACCTTTCACTTGAAAGGGGACTTTTGATTTTCATCAAGGTGGTTGTGTGCATTATGTGCAATTGGTTAGCACTTCTGCCTAGCAGAGCTAGAGTTGCCAGTTCAGTTCAATTCCCTGCACAGAGTTTGCATGTTCTCCCTATGTCTGTGTGGGTTTCCTCCAGGTGCTCTGGTTTTCTCCCACACTCCAAAGACATGCTGGTTCATTAAAAACTCTATTAATTTCAGCGCTCAGAGGTCTGCAGAAGAAGAAGAGGACCACAAATGATGTATAATGTGCAGTGGATCATGACCTTTGCCAGGAATGTATAGTTGGTGCAGCCCTCCTCAACTGGGAAAGTCTTGCGGAAACTACAAAAAGAACACGTAGGAGGGCACAAATGCCTAGTGCATTATCAACAATTTAATGTTCACAAAACAAAGATGCCAAATGGATACTCACTGGAGTGGAATGTAAAATCACATAAAAACCACAAGATGCCACAGCATAGGGTATCACGTGTGCCCATGCAACCTGGCTGGACTGGCAAGCTGCCGTGTTTCAGAAGCGTACCTCCTTCCTCAGAGCTATGCTTGCCAGTCCAGCCAGGTTGCCTATGCTGTGGCATCTTGTAGTTTTTATGCAATTTTACTTTCCACTTCTGTGAGTATCCATTTGGCATCTATGTTTTGTGAACATTAAATCGTTGGTAATGCACTGGGCATTTACGGCCTCCTGTGTGTTCTCTTTGTAGTTTATGCTGGTTCATTAATTAGCTCCTGTCTAAATAGGCTCTAGTATACGTATGTGACGTAGGGATCTTAGATTGTAATTTCCTTGAAGGCTGGGACTGATGTGTGCAATATCTATGTAAACTGCTGCATACCTTGATGGTACTATATGGGTACATATAATAAATAAATTTACAATTTTTAAACTGGGGGAACTTAGGCTGCAGTGACTGAAAACGTTTGAAAAATGCCGTTATATACTGTATATATATCATTTATTTTAATGATTTTTCTTTGGTTCAGAATTTCAGTGTACAATGATCCCAGGAAAACTGAGACAGATTGATGCCGGCGCTGGTGAAGTGTACGGTGTGAACGATAAAGATGAAATATTCCGATGGGTAAACAGTGACTGGGAACACGTTCCTGGAAAGCTCATCCATGTTTCTGTTGGACCTGCTGGAGTTTGGGGTGTGAACAGAGACAGCAATGTCTATAAGCTGCAGGACAATGAATGGATGTCTGTATCAGGTAAAAAAAATAATTTTTGATAAATTACACACCAATTATCACCAGAACATATCTAATACATATTTATATCATCTACATTATATTGAGATATTCTGCTGCACTTTAGAAAGTACATGGAAGCATTCCTATTATTTAATTTAAAAAAACTAAATGCACAGCATTTTTTCTTTTCAAAGATTCCTCTTATTAGCTGAGTCAGAGGGGCAGGCTGAAGACATCATGCTCTCTGACTTCACAGAATACACAGATGCCTATGAGCAAAAAGAAACAAAAAATGAAAAAAGTGAAACGCGTAAAAAACGCAGGCAAAAAAAACGCAAGGAAAAACGCAATGTAGAAACGGCTCAAACACAACTTGCATAGGTGTGAACATAGCCTTATTGAAGACATTTTTCATTTGGATCAGTAACAGGAAACATGAAAATTAGCTTTATAAATATCTGAGAGCACACAAATGTGAGGGAATAATTACAATGCCTTGAAAAAGTATTCATACCCCTTGAAATTTTCCACATTTTGTCATGTTACAACCAAAAACGTAAATTTATTTTATTGGGATTTGATGTGATAGACCAACACAAAGTGGCACATAATTGTGAAGTGGAAGGAAAATGAGAAATGGTTTTCCAAATTTTTTACAAATAAATCTGTGAAAAGTGTGGCGTGCATTTGTATTCAGCACCCCCCCCCCCCCCCAGGAGTCAATACTTTGTAGGAACCCCTATCACTGCAATTACAGCTGCAAGTCTCTTTGGGGATTTCTCTACCAGCTTTGCACATCTAGAGAGTCAAATTTGTTCCCATTCTTCTTTGCAAAATAGCTCAAGCTCTGCCAGATTGGATGGAGAGCGTCTGAACAGCAATTTTCAAGTCTTGCCACAGATTCTCAATGGATTTAGGTCTGGACTTTGACTGGACCATTCTAACACATGAATATGCTTTGATCTAAACCATTTCATGGTAACTCTGGCTGTATGTTTAGGGTTGTTGTCCTGCTGGAAGGTGAACCTCCACCCCAGTCTCAAATCTTTTGCAGACTCTAACAGGTTTTCTTCTAAGATTGCCCTGTATTTGCCCTGTATTTGGCTCCATCCATCTTCCCACCAACTCTGACCAGCTTCCCTGTCACTGCTGAAGAAAAGCATCTTCACAACATGATGCTGCCACCACCATGTTTCACGGTGGGGATGGTGTGTTCAAGGTGATGTGCAGTGTTAGTTTTCCGCCACACACAGCATTTTGCTTTTAGGCCAAAAAGATCAATTTTTGTCTCATCTGACCAGAGCACCTTCTTCCACATGTTTGCTGTGTCCCCCACGTGGCTTCTCGCAAACTGCAAACAGAATGTCTTATAGCTTTTCATTGAGCAATGGATTTCTTCATTAATATGTATATTATTTTGTTTATGTGAAAGTTATAGCATCTTCAAACTATATTATATATATACTGGACTTTATGCAGCTTTGATGCTATACTGGTAATGGCAAGACTGTGATAGTGTGGCGGGCAATCTGATGCTAAGAGACCCTCACTGGGAGGTACACTAACTGATTAACTGACACTAATATCACTAGTGACACTAATACAGTATTCAATGCTAATACTGTACTCTGTCACTGTACTAATGACACTGGCTGGGAAGGGGTTAACATCAAGGGGCAATCAAGGCGTTAACAAGTGTAATGTGTGTAATATCTGCTGCTTTTACTAAGAGTTCTGCTTTGCAGGGAGAAGAAACAGCAAGATCGCAGAGCTGTGTACAGAGCCCTGTGTGTTTGTAAAAATAGCACTCTACGCTGTGATTGGCTGCAGCCTATCAGCAGGTCTCAGCCATAAATCATTGGCCGGGACCTGCTGTCAAAATTCTGCTGTAGCCAGTAACAGGTGCAGGGGGTAAGAGCATGTGTGCCCCAAACCTGAAAGAGACTGGAGGACGTACATGTCTGATTCAGCCTGGCTGTGCCACTCGTCCGCAGTAAATGTACTGTGGGCAGGAAACACTGCTACAGGGTGGCACGGGTGCGCAAAATCACGTATATATACATGATTTTGCATTTCCGGGTAGGGGGCGTGCATGCACCCTACCCGCACTGCCATTCGTGGCCGCGGCTGTCAGTCACCGGGGCCCAGCCGGTGATTACTCGCCCGGTGATTGCTGAGGATCTCCTACGGGGAGGAGAACTGTTTGTAAACAAAACAGTTCTCCTCCCTGTTGGTGTCAGGAATCTAGGAGTGACCAGAAAGGTGTGGACTGACACAGGGAAACACAGGTTTCAGGTATAGTATAATAACACAGTTTATTATTAGCCACACATATATATATATATATATATATATATATATATATATATATATAAACGCACAGTGAACAAACCAACCTTCCACTAATCTTAGTAGGTGCAGGAACACAGGCATAGTTAGGGCTGGAGAGGTGGAATGGTCAGGCCGGCCGTAGGGTTCTGTAATGACCGTTCGGTGGTACCTCTAGCGGTCCTCAGGACAGGATTCCCCAGGGCGCGGAGTCTAAGTCCCAGTCTGCTTATTCACCAGGGCCCCTGATGGTGGGGATGGACTTGGAGCAGACAGGAACCAAGTCGCGGCCCCTGAGTACACCTACTCGTGGTAGAGGGATCCGCCAGAGGTATGTGCAGGTAGAAAGCCTGATGTGAAGAGGCAGAATGTGTGAGCAGGGACGGCTGGATCCGTGCAGGATGGATGGATGGCAGAGTAGCTAGCGTGGTCAGATGGGTCAGGTCAGCAACGTGCGGGCAGCGAGGTACCAAAAGAGCAGGCAGAGAATGGTCAGGGTCACAAGCTGGGTTCAGTAACTCACGGGCAGCGCGGTACAAAGGATCAGGCAGAAGGATGGTCAGGCAAGCCAGGGGTTCAACAGGAGACGGTCAGCAGAGGTCAGGATCAAGCAGGGTCAGCAACGAAGCAGGAACACAGGATACCAGGTACAGGGGCTCATGGGAAAACATACACCAAGGCCCAGACTGCAGGTCTGGCCATCCCTTAAATACACCTTCTGCAATCAGCCCCAGGTTTGGCTGATTGCAGAAGTGAGCTTCTGGCTGCTGAGAGCACCCGCTGGTCAGCCCTGGTACTACAGCCCACACGGCAGGTGAGTCCCACCACCAGTGCTGAGTCCATTCCTGACAGTTGGCTAGTGCACGCTGCTTTGGATGGCTGTGCGCAGCTTACAGTGAAGCACACGGACACAGGACATAGTGAAACAGCACACAGTTTACCCTTTGATCGCCCCTCACAGTTGACCCCTTCCTGCCCAGTGCCATTAGTACAGTGTCAGTGCTTTTTTTTTTAGCACTGATCACTGTATTGATGTCACTGGGGATGTCAGTGACACTAGATCAGTTCCCCCCTGTGTCAGAATGCCCGCCGCAGTCCCGAAGTCCCGCTACAAGTCGCTGATCACCGCCATTACTAGCAAAAGTTACAAAAAAAAAAGCCCAGTATATATACCGCCATTTGTAAATGCTATAACTTTCACGTAAACCAATTAATTTACATGTATTGGGATTTTAGCAAAATCTAGTAGCAGAATACATTTTGACCTAAATTTATGACGAAATTTGATTTTTAAAATTTTTTTTTACTCAACATGTTTAATAGCAGAGCCAAAAATATTTTTTTTTCTCAAAATTGTTGGTCTTCTTTTTTTTATAGCACAAAAAAATAAAAAAACGCACAGTCGATCAAATACCACCAAAAGAAAGCTCAATTTGTGGGAAAAAAGGACGTAAATTTAATTTGGGTGCAGCGTTGCATGACCGCACAATTGTCAGTTAAAGTAACACAGCGGCGTAACGCAAAAAATGGCCTGGTCAGGAAGAGGGGTAAATCCTCAGGAGGGCAAGTGTTTAATGGAGCAATGTTTTTTGTTTTGTGTTTTTTCACCAGGGCTCTTGAAGCAGGTAGATGCTGGTGGTGATAAGTTCTTGGGTGGAGTGAATGCACAGGACAACATCTTCTGCTTGAGAAGGAGCTGCACGGTTTCAAGATCTTCTGCTGTATACTTCACCCACCTGGATGGGGGACTGAAATATTACAGCTGTGGGCCAATGGGTTGCTGGGGAGTGAACAGCGGCAACAGTATTTACTTCCGCCATAATGTTACCCCAAAAGCTTGCCAGGGAACCCAGTGGGAGCATATCGATGGCAGTCTGGCGATGATAGAGGTTGGCACAGATGGTTCTGTGTATGGCGTCAACTCAGCAGGAAACGTGTACCAAAGGTATTTTGTTTAACTATGTATGCAGTAGCATTAAAGCAATGTGCATATAAATGTTACTTTTGTAAAGAAGTGTTAATGGTAAATGTTCAGGGTAAGCCAATTAGAAAAGCCTACTAGGTATAATTCAGCAACCACTGTGTATGTTTACATTAGTGTTAGAGGATCTTTGCATTTTTGCTCTCTTTAGTCAACTAGGATTGTACTCCGTGAACCCTCAGCATGAGCAGTAAAGTGATACTGAACGCAATGATTAATTTACATTATCATTTCTGTATGTTGCTGATGTCACTGTAATTATTTTAATTTAAAAAAACGCATCTAGGTACATTTTACTAATCTAAATACAGCTGTCATGTGACCCAGCTCTTTCCCAGCCTGTCTGCAGGGAAACAGTGGCAGGAGGAGCTTCTAGTCCTCTACTGCTGGTCACATGTTCAACATTTATAAAAGAAAAAAAGCCTTTGGAATACAGAGTAAACATAAATAATTAATATCAATAAACTGTTTTAAATTGGCATAAAATATACATTTGAAATCAGGTCTTTATTATTTTGTGGAAATAACATGGTGTGGGTGGATTTCTGCTAGTCACAGGCTCTGTCACACCCCTCCAGCTTGTGTCTTTGAATAAGATGGAGGTAAAGCCACCATTAATCTACATATAAGATCCCATTCCTCATTGTGTTTAGCATGTTAGTGGGCATGAAGGAGGAGGGAGGGGGTGGGCTGTCATTTACCACTGTGTATAGACCCACATGTGTGACTCTATAGTCACGTGGGCCAATCAGATGTGATAGAGAATAAATGCTATGCATAGAAACTCACTTCAAACTGATCATGTGCAGAGTTGCCTCTATAGCTGCAAAATCCCTAGCTGAATTGGGGGCATGAGCAAAAGGTGAAGACAGAGAGCAGCAGGATCAACCAGTTTTTTTTGCAGAATACAGAAAATGAATCCCATAGTGACTAAGTAAGTATGAACAGCATGTAATACAACATTTACTGATCATTTTTTATGATGTGGGTTTAATTTCACTTTAACCTCCTTGGCGGTATTCCCGAGTGTAGCTCGGGGTAACATTTCAGTACCATGAGCGGTAACCCCGAGCTACACTCGGGAATACCATGCGGCACTGCTCCGGCATGTGTTCTTCACTTACCTTACCCTGCGCTCCCACGATGTGTCCCCTGCAGCGTCCCCGGCCATCTCCTCCGGCCGATGCCGGCATCCGGCTTCTGTGTCCTGTCCCTGTGACGTCGGGACGTACAGGCGCCGCCGGCGGCGGGAAATTTAAAAATTTTAAAAAATGTAATTTTTTTTTTTTTTTTTTACATTTTATATAGTAAAACATTGTCTCAACCAATTTCACATACATTTTTTCCCTAGTGCTGTGTCCTGTGCCCTGCCTGCATTTTGTCTGTTCTTTCTGCCTGGAAACTGAGAAACGTCCATGGCGTCCAAAAAGTGTCCCTTTAGGTCAAAAGCGGTTTAGATCAGCTAGAGAACAGCGATAGTAAATCAGAACCACTTGCAGAATTGAGTGATAATGATTTGTGGGGAAATTCATCATCAGACACTGAAAACGATTTTGCGACTTTGCTCAGCAATGTGCAAACTTATTGTGGTGCTATATTTCAAATTTCTGTGTTTTTGGTTTGATTATATTATTGAATTAAATTTATTATTATTATATTATTATTTTTTGTGATTATTTATTAAATTATAATTTATGATTTCGTGTTTCAAATTTTATCATACCCGGGATGTTTACTAGACTTTTGTTCGGACAGATTTCAGTGAGTTATTCCTAAAAATTACAGCCTACAATAAAAAAACTACATATTTCCATGCAAAAAAATGGTACCGCTTTCAGCACCAAAAATCGGAAAGAATCATACCGCCAGGGAGGTTAACTCTTTCCCACCCAGCCTATTGTACGATGACGGTGAAACGGGAACCCTATTATCCTGGGAGGACATCATATGATGTGTGTGTGTGTGTGTGTGTATATATATATATATATATATATATATATATATATATAGCCCATGTAGCATGTGCTCAGATGTGGCCAATCACAGCTGATCACAACAAAAACAAAAACTACTGAATGAACCATCAATCATAATATGTAAAAAAAAAAAATCCTGATCACCTGCCCAGAGTAGTACTATGTCATTATGGTAACATTGTATTGCTCTGGTCACAGGAGTAGAAAGAAAATAATAAACAAACTTAAAAAATGTAATAAAAATGTTTAAATAATTAAAAAAACATTTTTTTAATTTTTAAAAATTATATATATATATATTTTTTCACATACTGTCGTCAGTCAGCATCCCTGATCACTGCCATGCCAGTTACATGATGACCCTGTACTGCATTGGTGACAGTATGTACAAAAAAAAAAACATTGTGAAAAAATGTTTTCAGTTCTTAATTTTCCACAAAATTATGACAACAAATGAGAACTTCAAAAAACTGGCCATGCCTTTTACTAAATACCTCAGACTCTCACTGGCCTCTAGGAATGAGATAATCCGTCAGTACATCAGGACTGATCAATTTCTAGATATGTACCATAGTTTGTGGACTCTATGATTTTCCTACCAACTAAAATAATAAACACTGATTTGGGTTATTTTCACCAGACATTCACCAGAATACGTTTTGGCCTAAATTTGTGTAGAAAGATTATTTATTTTCAAAATGTTGCAACAGAAATAATAAAATGCATTTTTTTCAAAATGTTTTCTTTTTACATTTAATGAAAAACCCAGTGGTGATTAAATACCACATAAAGAAATCTCTATTTATGTGAAAAATATGCTAAAGATTTCATATGGGTACAGTGTTGCATGACTGCGCAATTGTCAAAAGTGCAACAGCGCTGAAATTGAAAATTGGCCTGGGCAGGAAGGGGGTAAAAGTGCCCGGTAGGCAAGTGGTTAAATGATACCTCCAGTGACCATGGATTTTGGCAAGTGGTTAAATGATACCCCCAGTGACCATGGATTTTGGCAAGTGGTTAAATGATACCCCCAGTGACCATGGATTTTGGCAAGTGGTTAAATGATACTTCCAGTGACCATGGATTTTTAACATTGACTATTTGGTCAGTCCAAAAGCTTATCCTAGTAATGGGTTTCTGATTTGCTATGTTGTCTGGTATTCCTTAAAAATGTCCTTACACGAAATGCTATTTTTAATAAAAAAAATGTTATGTTATATAACTGAGAAATATTTTTTGTTTCAGGGATGGAATCAGTGCCAAAACCCCAGCTGGAACATCCTGGATCCAGCTGGACTTCTGTGCCACTTTCAAGCACGTCACTTATGACAACGGATATCTCTGGCTTCTCAACCCAACTGGTGACATCTATCAATGTGCAGAAACAAATAGTTGATTTGGCTGTGCTGTGTGGCAGAGTTATGTATATCTCAGCACAGGAATTAAAAGTTAACATCTGCTTGATCAATACAGGCAGCCCGCCTACAATTGCCTGGCTGTGGCTTTCCTAAATGAGTGGGTTGTAGTTCTAATTTAATTGTTTTAGCATTTATTCATTTTAATTTTTCTTCAGAAACATATGAATGGAATTACATTTCAAAAGGGCAATCAACCCGCCAGTCATTAATGACTTCCAATTAGATATGAGTACAGGGCCAAAGTATATATAAAAAAAAAATCACAGTGGAGACCAATTTACAGAGTAAGAAGGAAGTTTGGGGGAAAAAAACAAGCCAAGGTCAAAGGTGGTAACCACTTTAGCTCTTGAACTTTTATAATACATACATTGCTTTTTTTAAGACAAACTAGACTTTCTTTTGGCAATACAGTTCTGCAAAAACATTTTATTTTCTATGTAATCTATAGTCAAAAAGACATTAAAAAAATAAAAAAATGTTTTTTTTCTATTAGTTATATAAAAAAAAATTGTTTTAAGTAAAAAGCACATATCTATTTAGCACTACTCCCACAGAGGTTGCTTGATAATGCTTGTCTTCAGTGGTTGCCCCGCTCTTGCAGACCTCCCAACAGCTATGACTCTCTGGGTAAAGACATATTTCAACAATATAGAATAATAATGCAAGCGACAAGATTCTTTATTAACACCTCTGTATTAAGATCGTTCTAAAGAGTAGACCACAGAATGAAGGTTTAAGAGGTACATCCCCAGTAAAACACTGATAAAATGGAAATCACCAAATAGCAACGGTTAACAGTGATCAAAAGGCTGCATGTGCTCTCTCAGCGAGTAAATAATGATCAGTGTAAAAAAAAAAAAAAAAAGATCACAGTGGCTACCACACCAGTCAGCAAACTAATGTAAGCTAGCAACAGTGTTCCTGTCATTGCACACTCACCCCAGTGTCAACAGACCAGTGCTGCCATCTGCAGTGTTCCTGATCATTGCCCCACCAGTGCAAGTGTCCCCAGACCATTGCAAACCATCAACAATGTTCCTGATCACTGCTACACCCATACAGTGTCACAAGACCATTGTAAGCCCAGAACAATGTACCTTCTCACCGCCACACCAGTCCCAGTGTCACCAGACCAGCACAGTCTGTAATGGTGTTCCTGATCACTGCCACACCCATACAGTGTCACAAGACCACAAGACCAGTGTAAGCCCAGAACAATGTACCTTCTCACCGCCACACCAGTCCCAATGTCACCAGACCAGCACAGTCTGTAACGGTGTTCTTGATCACTGCTACACCAGTAGGCACCATCACACAAGTCCCATTTACACAAGAACAATGTAATCCATCAACAGTGCTCCTGATCAATGCCACACCAGTGACAATATCACCAAACAAGTGCACCCAACAACAGTGTTCCTGATCGCCAGCATATTAGTACAGTGTCACCAGAGCCAGGGCAGCCATCAGTATCCCTAATCGCCACCATACCAGTATAGTGTCACCAGAGCCAGTGCAGCCATCAACAGTGTTCCTGATCACCACCATATCAGTACAGTGTCACCAGAGCCAGTGCAGCCATCAACAGTGTTCCTGATCACCACCATATCAGTACAGTGTCACCAGAGCCAGTGCAGCCATCAATAGTGTTCCTGATCACCAACATATCAGTACAGTGTCACCAGAGCCAGTGCAGCCATCAGTGTCCCTGATCGCCACCACACCAGTACAGTGTCACCAGAGCCAGTGCAGCCATCAACAGTGTTCCTGATCACCACCATATCAGTACAGTGTCAACAGAGCCAGTGCAGCCATCAACAGTGTTCCTGATCAACACCATATCAGTACAGTGTCACCAGAGCCAGGGCAGCCATCAACAGTGTTCCTGATCAACACTACACCACTGCAATTTTGCCTCTGTCTGCCACCTGTACTGTATATTGGCCACATTTCTGCCTGTTGCCTGAACTGACCCTTTGCCTGTTTGCTGCCCATGTCTCTGCCTGCCACCTGGACTGACCCATCTGCACATTCCTCTGACTATGCTCCCGTGAGACACCACAACTGCACTCCTGGAACCACATGAACTCTTTTTCACTCTGTTCTGCCTCCTATATTTCTGGCCAGTGAACATGCCATTCCTGGAGTATCTATGTTCCAGTGGGTTAGACTTGATTGGCTTATAGGAATGAGAACCTCTATAGAGAGAGATATCATTTTACCCCTGTACAAATCATTAGTAATACCTCATCTGGAATATGCAGTTCAGTTTTGGGCACCAATTCACAAAAAAAAAAATTGGGGAATTGGAGAAAGTAAAGCGAAGGGCAACCTAACCGATAAGAGGCATGGAGGAGATCAGCTATGAGGAAAGATTAGAGGAACTTAATTTATTCTCTCCTGAGAAAAGGAGATTAAGGGGGGATATGATCACCATGTATAATACATAAGAGGGGATATGATCTCCATGTATAATACATAAGGGGGGATATGATCTCCATGTATAATACATAAGGGGGATATGATCACCATGTATAAATACATCAGTGGTTCATATAGTGAATTCGGTGTAGAGTTATTCACCCTGAGGTCATCACATAGCACAAGGGGCACTCTTTACGTCTGGAGGAAAAGAAATGCAATCTCCAAATATGGAAAGGTTATTTCATAGTAAGAGCTGTGAAAATGTGGAATAGACTTCCTCGATAGTTGGTTTTGGCCAGCTCAGTGGATTGTTTTAAAAAAGGCCTGGATTCTTTCTTGGATACCCAGAATATAACTGGATACTAACATTTATAGGTAAGTTGATTCAGGGAATATCCAATTGCCTCTTGGGGATCAGGAAGGATTTTTTTATTGGATCATGCTTTGCTGGGTTTTTTTGCCTTCCTCTGGATCAACTGTGGGTGTAGGATTAGAACTTTTTTCTTTTATGATTCAACTGGATGTACTTTTGTCTTTTTTCAGCCAGATTAACTATGTGACTATGTAACAATAGGTGTTGCTATACTAAGCTACAGTATATTCTCTGACCACTTGTACAGAGGCAAGCATTACAGTACACTATTTTTTATTGTTGGTTGTTTTTTGTGACACACAAGATAAAATGTCCATATCATCATAATCACATAATCAGTTCAAACATTGAAAAAGTCTCACACATGTGCTATCCCCATATTCAAGAGGAGTAGCAGAAAAAAATCTCACACATGTGCTATCCCATATTCAAGAGGAGTAGCAGAATGTGTATTGGGGTGTAACTCTAAGCACGCCCACGTTGTGTGGTTAGAAGTATGTTATTAATTTACAACTTTGTGTAAAATAATTATATGACTTTTCTTTCTTCATTTTCCAAAAATGTGGATCAACAAATTAAATCTTCAACAGACTTACCATGCCACTTAAAAAAAAACTTTAGGGTGTTTGCTTTTCAATATGTGATATTTTTGGGGCGTTTCTACTGTACTGGTGCTCCAGGGCCTTGATAGGTTGTCAGGAATTTAGATGCATAGTTTATGCTCTTTGCAAACCTAAAGGTGCTCCTCGGATTTTGGGCACCTCTATGCAGCTAAACTCTGAAAAAAAAGTCTCCCACATGTGCTATCTCCATACTCAGGAGGAGTAGCAGAATGTTTTGGAGTGAAATTTCTAAGTATGCCCACGCTGTGTGGTAGAAGTGTCTTATTAATTTACAATTTTGTGCAAATACATTTTCTTTTTCTTTCTGCATTTTCCAAAAGCTTGTGGCAGAAAAATGAAATCTTCAAAAGACTCACCGTGCCTCTTAAAAAATAATTTGGGGTGTTTACTGTACAAAATGTAGCCAATGTGTATGAGTTTATACTGTCCTGGCACTCCCCAAATATGTGGTATCCCCATACTCAGGAGGAGTAGCTGAATGTGTTTTGGGGTATAATTCAAAGTATGCTCATACTGTGTGTGAGAAATATTTTTTTATATGACAGCTGTGTGTAAAAAAAATACAATAATTCTTCATTCTACACATTTTCTTTCTTCATTTTCCAAAATCTTGTGGCAAAAAATTAAATCTTCAAAACCATGCATATAATAAAATTGGTTGGAGGGTCTGCTTTGTAAAATATTGTGGGCATTTTGTGGGAATTTCTCCTCTCTTGGTACTTCAGAACCTCAAGAAATATGATAGTCAGGAAATCAGATGCATTATTTACAGTATGCCCCTTGAAAGCATGTAGGTGCTCCTTGCATTTTGGGCCCCTCTATTCATCTAGGAAGCAAAAGAATCTTACACATGTGGTATCGCCATACTCAGGAAGAGTAGCAGAATGTGTTTTGGTGTATATTTGTAAGTATGTCCATGCTGTGTGTGAGAAGTATCTTGTTAAAATAACACATTTGTGAAATAAAATCAAACTTTTTTTTCTCTCTTCATTTTCCAAAAATGTGACAAAAAATTACAAGTTCAAAAAAACTCACCATGCCCTTTTACTAAATACCTTGGAGTTTCTACTTTCCAAAAATGGGTTGTTTTGGGAGTGTTTGTACTGTTCTGGCATTAAAGGACCTAAAAAATAAGAGATACTCAGAACATCAGGGTTGATCTGTCTCAAAAAAATGATATAAAATTAATTTGGGTACAGCATTGCATGACCAGGTAATTGTTAGTCAAAGTATCACAGTGCTGAAAACTGAAAAAATGGCCTGGACAGGAAGGGGGTTTAACATGACCATCTTCAAGTGGTTAAACACTGCATGGTTTATGGAATTATAGTTGATATATTTTCCAGAGATGGACTGATTCTGTGCAATTTATTTTTTTCTCTGCATTGCTTGTTGGATGGACTATTAATGTGTTGATTTGATGCACTTCTATTAATTTGCACAGAATTTTTGTAATAGATTCCTTTTTATTTAATATATTTACTAATTGAATGCACTCCTTTTTACATGTATGGATTATTTGTTATGGTAAGAATTATTTGTTTTTTACATAATTATT